ATATCTTCATATCAAACAACACCATATGTACATACACTACAAACAAAACACCACCCAAACATTATCATACAAACATAAATTTGAATATATAAGTAGTATGCATGTAATTACTGTGTTACTGGTCTCGTGTAGTTTTTTTATTTACGGCAACCTTGACTTCTTCATGTTGGTTAATAATTATTTTTAATAACATACAAGCAAACATATACATACACATTTTTAATGGCACATAAATATTTAGCACATTGTAAAAAATATTAAAATTAAGAAAAAAAAGACAAATAGTGACATATAGTAGCAAACTGTAAGATATGAGGATAGAGAGAGGACCCAATCGATCAGTTGGGACACCTTTAAAATATAGTTTATATTTAGAAGGTGCCTATATCGGATAGGCATGAATGCTTCGACAAATTCTATAAAATAAGCTGGAGAATACTTTGAAAATAAAACAACATTTTTGTTGATAAATATTCGTATTTTCATTTTGAGGCCAGAAATATATATAGTAGCCCTCTTATAACAAATGTTTATATAAAAATATTAAAAAGAATCCAATGAGAAATAAATGTAGGCATAAGCACACTTCAAGTGAAATATATTGGGAAACATTTTTTTCTCAATAGGTTTGCTAACTTTTATGTAGGTCTGTTTTTATTCCGAAACTTTTACGTTGTCTAAATGTTTGACAGAGGTAGAAATGAAAATCTTATCTGTAGAAAGAAGATTTTTTATTGGAGGACAGAAGTTGTTTTGTATGACTTTTAGAAATATATATATATATATATATATTTTTTTTTTTTTTGTATAGGAAATCTTTAGTAGGTCCTCTGCAGAACGATCCTACTAAGAAACATATTAATTAAAATATATAAATGTATATATTTTAATAAATTAATAATAATTTAATTCAATTAAATTAATTTTTTGTGTTTTTCAATTTAATTTATTTTTGTATTTATCAATTTAATAAATAAATTTTAAATTATTTAATTTATCATTTATCTCATAATGAAGTTATTGAATTGAATCGCCATTATATAGCTGCTAAAAAACAATCCATGTAATTTTGTTGACCAAAAAAGGAAGTTATTGTCTCCTATATCCAGCTCGTTTGGCAATCTCTAAGGCTTCGAAAATTCCTGAAATAGATTGAAGAAAAAATCCATTTTGTGCAACAATTTGCTGTGGCAATTTTATCCACTTTTTGCAGCCACATGACCACCTTTACTAACTTGAATTATTGTTGCCACTTATCGTAACTATAAAAAAACGAACAACTACTCCAATAAAATATTTCAGCAATCATGTGGCGAGTGGCGACCAATAGGATAGATAGACAGCTAAACATGCCACCACATGCCTTGCACCATAAATGGTAGAAATGAAAAAGAGAGTTGTTTTTAGAAAGTAACATTTTACTGCAAAACGTGTGCAACAAATGCACAGCACAAGTTGTATACGATATATATATGGGAATTGAGACTGGGTGATGGAAAGAAAAATTGAAAGAAAGAAAAAAATAAAACTAAATATAAAATAAAAGTTTATATGGGGGTAAGTTAAGATAGATCTGGAAAAATCGATCTGGAATAAATTGAGACTATGCAAGGTAAAAAATTCGGAAATAGAATTATATAAGGTGGACCTGGAACTAAAACTTAAGGAAATTTAATTTTAATTTAAATTCTTATACAAGCCCCGACTTTTTTCTTAAAAATATTATTTTTTATTTACTCATTTGTAAAAAAAAATATTTGTTGAAACACAAAATTACAATTTTAATTTTATTTAGCAAATAGCCCTCATTTATTTTGGGCATTTTTAAATTGTTTATTTTTTTCCATAATAATAAATTAAATGCAAATTGTGTTAATATGAATATTTTTTTTTTATTAAAATCATGCTTTTGGCCATTCTGCATTAACTCCGTCATTGGCTCCCGTTTTCTCTACCTCATTTTTTCTGCCGTTTTTTCCCAGATTGTTGTATGTAGAAAATTGATCACGTTTTTTAATTGCATGTTAGAGCTTGAATGAAAAATAAAAGTTTTCCCATAAAGTAAAAAAATAGTTTGCATTTTGTTTGGTAGCAATTGAAGACAATTCGAACACGGCATGTTTTTATAACCTCCACCAGAAGGCGAGGGCAATGTTAAATCTGTGCCTTTGTTTTTAACATCTCGAAATATGTTTCGGAGGTCCCATAAAGTATTTCTATTCTTGATGAAGATCGCTATATTTAAGAGATAAGAGATCGCTATATTTATAGAAAAATACCTATAGCCACAAAAATAGTTTGTGCTTCTAGGATATGGAATAGGATGCCGCCCAATGTAGGTATTGGTAAAGCTTTTTTTGCCAACAAAAATGTATTTTATTTGACATTTCGAGCTTGAAGCATGGATAACGATTTTGCAGGAAATTTTCAATATGGGCCCATGGTTTGACATAGCAACGTATTAAAGTCCCGCCCCATAAAAGACATTTTGATGGGGTGTAACGCTTTTTCCAAGAATTGAGAATTTTAGAAAATATCAATATCAGTGCCGACAGATTTTATACCTTGAGCTTATGACACATTTAGTCAACATTTATCCTGACTTTGGTCTGCTATTTTGAACAGTTATTTAAGTCAAATCTATGAGTCCGGGTTGAACAATTTTAGCTTAAATGCAGGGGACCAAGTTCGGCACCTCATGAGATGTTCCTATGTAGCCGATATTTCTTCCAAGTGTATTTTTAGTATAAATAATTCATATTTCGCTTTATATGATATACTTATATGTTGATCATCTGTAAGGAAGGTAACATAAGGGGTGGTCCGATCTTCATACTTAATTTAGACTATAACAAAATATTGCGATTTACATAGTTTGGATAAACCGCTAGCTTCATGAGATTTACAAATTATACATTTTTTGACACTTTGGGGGGGAAATTCCACAAAGGGACCACCCTTATTGGAATTTTTTGAGTCTTCTCATCTACATATAGTGTATATAAGAAAGAAAAATATACATTGTGATGTTCAAAGTAAGCGACAATTTAGATTATCATTATAATGTAAAAAAGTACGACTTTGTCGGGGAAATAACAAAATAAATGGGCTGGTATTCCTGTTTTCGAATGTGATATAAGTTTGGAATACATATTACCCTTGGGGATGTTTGAATCGAACGGACAATCTTCTCCGAGTGTTATATGCGACGCAGTTAGTAAGCTTTAATCGATCGAATCGAATAGCTTGATACGGATTTCATCTAAAGACACTTAGGGTATAAAAAATTAAAGAACAATCAAACAAATTATCTATAAGAATACCTAATCGAGAAGTATTTCTATCTCAAATTATAGATATCGTCTTTGACCATATAACCGGAACCTCTAGTAACAGTTGTCAGTCATCAGTGCTACATTTTCGCCTAAAATATCAGAATACATAGACAACTGTAGGAAGTAAAAAAACAGAAGTAAAACTCCGACATTGGAGTACATACAACAATATAATTGATATCAAATCAAAGGCCAACCACTTCTTTTGGATATATAAAATTCTCGGTTATATGTTCAAAAGAATACAATACTTTTATGTGAATAATGGCAAAAAAATTATTCACATTAAAGTCTGGGTCCACTTGACCCGCTAAGAATCGTCCATGTCATCTCCTAAATATTACGTGATCATTACCAGAGGTCTTCTTAGTCCCGAAACGGACCAAGCTTGTGACCATAACTGTGGCCTGTATGAGTTTACAAATTATAATGGACGGACGACCGGGCGGATGGAGACACATGTCTAGACGATGTGCAAGTCGAGATATGACGATCGGTATGCTAATGATTGAACTTCGTATAAAAATCCGAGGGTCTTCCCATAGAAGAGCAATTTGTATTTTTATTAGAAGAGTATTTTGTTTTCTTCTCCATAAAAGAACAATTCGTTTTTTCACAGAAGAACACTTGTTACTCTATTCATAGAAGAATCAATGGTATTTTTGAGAAGAAAACTGTCCTTCTCATAGAAGAACCTAAGGTATTTTCCGTAGAAGAGCAGTTGTCCTTATCCATAGTAGAGCCAATGGTATTCGAAACAGAAGAGCCATAGAAAAGCAATTGGTCGTCTCCATAGAAGAGCAATTGATCTCCATAGAAGTGCAAATTGTCTTCTTAATGGAAAAGCAATGGGTCTTCTCCAAGAAAGAACAATTAGTCTTCTCCTTAGAAGAGCAATTTGCATTTTTAATTTTAGAGTATTTTTTTCTTCTCCATAGAAGAACGAGTTTTTTCTCTCAGAAAAAAAACTTGGTATTTTTGATAGAGGAGCAATTTTTTTTCTTCATAGAAGATAAATTTGCCCTCTCCATAAAAGAGCAATTTGTCTTCTCCATAGAAGATCAATTTATCTTCTTTATGCCAGAGTCAAATATGTTGTATTCTAAAAAGAAGAGCCAATAGCCTTTTCCATAGAGGAGCATTTGGTCATCTCCACGAAAACAATTGATCTTCATAGACCATTTAAAATTCTTCTCGTTGAAGAGTGTGATATTATCCATAGAAAAACAAGTAGTATTTTTCATAAAAAATCAAATGACCTTCTTATAGGGGATTTATGGAGCTTCTTCATAAAAGATCAATTTATTGTTTCCAAGAAGGACCAATAAATTTTTTTATAAAAGAGCAATTGGAATGCTCATAGAAAATTCTTTGTTGTCCTCCATTCGAGATCAATTGATATTCTCTATAGCAGAGAAATTGGTGGTAATTTCGTCGATCTTTTTTATATATCGAAGACCATGTAGTCCTCCCAAGGTCCTATCGCCTTATTTCCAGTTTGATTAATAGCCTATCATCAAAAACGATTAATATTGGAGCTAGAAAAAATGGTTGTTAATATTTGAAGCCAAAATAGTTTGACGTAGATAATACTGGTTTTATGGTTATTTTTATCTATGATTTTTTTTCAATTTTGTTTTTATTTTCTGTTTAATAGCAACCTACCCAATTTCAAAGCCGATAATAGCATCATATTTCCAGTTGTGGTTATTGACGTCGACGGAAAGAAGTAGACGAAAAAAATAATAAAATGTCACCAAAGTGAGCTGGACAGAGGAAAAATCAAGTGATGAACTGCAACACGTTGGCAATGAGACAGACTCCTTTGTTGTTGAGTTTTTTTTTCTTATTTTCAGTAAAGCAAAGCAAAAGAAAAACTTGTTGCACACCTCAAGTTTTCGAAGAGGATGGATACTTTTTTCTGCTCAGAGTGTATAGGGGAGGGATGATGTAGTTATCGATTGTATATTGTCTTGGAATCAATTAACTTTCACTTGATATTGCAAGGAGCAAAAAAAAATGTTTTTTTTTTAATTGAAATTGTTTTTTTCCTTTTGTTAACAATTTGTAATTTGCAGTGGATTATTTTTTATTTGAAAAATTTGTCTTTTGTTAAAAAATTGTAATTTTTTAGACGATTTTCTTTCGATTTTTTTATTCAAATTTGTTGTCGGCAATTTGTATTAAATTTTCTGATTTTTTATATCTTTTTATATATATATTTTTATTTTTCATTATTTTTTAATATACTAAAAATTATTTTTTTATTTGTATTCAAATGATAAATTGCCATAACGTCATTGGAGGCGTGATTATTTTTCAATTCTTTATTTAATATTTCTTTATTATTACAAATATAATATGTAGATATATAAAAATTCAATTTTAATGTTTAACTCGTGTTCCATTAATTAATTTGTTGACATGTTTATGGTTTTTTCCATTAGTGTTTTGTTTGTTAAGTTTTTTTTTATTATTGATTTTTTTGTTGCAGCATTTTTTGCTATTTATTTATTTGACAAGTTTTGTGTTTCGAAAACAGATTTACAGCTTCCTTGTATTTTGTGGCATTTTATTATTACATTTTTGTAGTCATTTAATTTTTTGTTATTGTTGTTGTTTTGAGATATAGAAAACAAAACGTTGTTTTGTTCCGATTTTGTTGCCAAGAATTTCAAATGCGTATCGACGGCTGTTGAATATTTTGTTGCGTAGTTTTTAGATTTCTTAACAATTTAGTTCACTTTCAATACAAAAACATTTTTGCAGTTAAGTTTCTCCATCAGAATGATGACGATTATAATGTTTTTGTTGGTGTTGCGATGATTAATCCAGTCACCAACGAACCAGAAACGAAATTCATTAACTCGAATAAAAAAACGTTATTTGACCTTTATCATTTGCTGGTGATTTTAACGATTCTCAAAGTTCTCTCTTCACACACACAAATAGACTTCTCAAAAATAATACCGTGATTAGATTTCTATTTCAATTTTATTTATTTTTTTTATTTTTTAAATCAAGTTTAGATTTTTTGCGAACGAAAATACAGTTAAATAACACAAGTATAGAAATTTTAATTCAAACACAAATTAATTGGCGATTTGGACTATCTGTCTGTCTCGGTACGAATGCGTTTTTGTTTCACTAACTTGGCTCACAACCAGCCAAGACACTTGACTTGTTTGGCCTGCAGAGACAATAAAAATGAAACCAATCGCAAAATCGACAGCGTTGGGCCCCTCTTGCGATTAACAGAAAGTTAAGCTAAATCTGTGGTGTTGTTGTTGTTATTTTTACTGCAACCTGTTTAGAAATTGAATTAACATTTTTATTATTATTGTTTCTTTTTTTTTATAAATTTAAAACCATGTTTTAATTATTGTTGTTGTTTTTTATATATTAATTTTCTTGAGAGTGTGTGTGAGTTTCTTTAAATAGAACAAGCATTTATATTTTTTTAGTTGCACTTTTTTGTTGTTGAAACGCCAAACAACTGCCAAATAAACTACGTTGAGAGTAATTATCTTAAATTGACTGCCTTATATATTTTCGTTTTTATTGGTTTGTGTTTTGTGTTGAAATAAATATATCTAATATTTCACGAAGAAAGGAAACGAAAGCAGTGAGAACAAAATTGCTGAAAATAATATTGGCGTAGAAATTAAAATTCATGGTCGGATTTGAATCCTGCAGATAGCAGAATTTTTAATATTTTTTGGAAACCTACAGATATGCGATAATTACTTACAAATATTTTTTGAGGTCTATATAAATATTATTTGGAGTCCGTGGATTTTTTTAACATATTTATTATAAAGGCTTTTATAATAAATATGTTATTTTTTTAATAATATTTTTAAAATCCCCAAAAGGCTTGGTGTTTTTTAATATAATAAAATTCTCCGATTAGAGGGTTTTTTTTTAAATAAATATTTTTTGAGTTCTCCACAAAGGCGTGGATTTAAAAAAAAAATTAAGTTCTTCAGACAGTCATTTATTTTTATATCCTACACAACTATGTTATCTGGGTATTATAGCTTTGTGCAGCCACAAGAGTTTGTAACGCCGCGAAATATTGGTCCTACCTTTAAATATACCGACATATCTCGGCCAGCTGAGTCGATCTAGACATGTGTGTCCGTCCGTATGTCCATTCAAATTTGTGAACACGACACAGGCCACAGAAATTTTACATGGGGAAGGAGATCGGATCAAAGAAGAAGCATGCCTGTTTTGACAAAGATCGTGTGAAAAATGACAAAATTTGTATTCTATAGCATATATATTTACTCTTGAAGGACATAGGCCCGTGAAGTTGATAGTACATCCAAGAGGTGTTGTTGACCTTTAAATTGATACCAATTATACTGTCGTATGTACTCAGATGTGGGAGATACACTTAAATATTTACAGCTGGTTACGTATTCATATATTATTTAGTAACCTATTATCACACACAGTCCACGGTGAAGGGAATGTGGACAAGTATAAGAGAGCTGTACTGAATATTAGTTACATTCGGAAAATATGTCAGTGTAAGGAAGAGGTGCTGTTGACCTCTAATCGGCAAGAGGGTGCAAATATCAGAAATATTGCTCAGGCTCGGAATAAATATCAGCAGGAAGTTAGAGTTCCGTGGTAGTTGTGTAGGGTATCGTATCGTCGGCCTTCGGAATTTTAGTTGGGAAGTTTTAATGCATTCGTCATACAGTCGGGACTTGGCACCAAGCGATTATCACATTTTTCTTGCATTACAAAATTTCTTTACTGATAAAAGGATTATGAAAATCGACTACTAGAGTTTTTTGCAAAAAGGGAGCAGGACTTCTATGAGATAGGCATTATAAAGTTACCATTAAAATAACAACAAATCATACAACAAAACGGTGCATATATGGCTTAATGGATTTATTTTTCCCCAACCTAATATTTTAAAGGAACTTGGGGATTAGTGAAAATATATTAGTAGGAGTATTAAGGACATTTGATTACAATTGTATCGAGTTACATAGTTATTCAAATTACCGCTAGATGAAGTTGTTTGTGTTTGCAGCATAGACACGAACCAAGAGTGCTGGATTGAAGACAAAACCCTGTGATAGATACCATGTTATCGAACAACGTCATCTAGCGGCAAGTTAAATATCTATTCAATTCGATACGTTTTTAATCAAATGCTCCTAAATCAACTACTGATATTAATGTTATTTTAAATTACAAATTATTATCATTTTGAAATTAATATAAAATAAAAATATATGTATTCCCAAAAACGGTAGTATAGATTTCATTGAGATTTTCCCAGTATGTCATGCCCAAAAGTAATTAAGGCTAGATACATTTATAAAAAATCGCGTTGGTGCGGAGTTATAGCAAGAAAAATAATCATAACCCTGAAAGTATATAAATTTTCTATGTGTTTATCTTAAGAATCGAATATATAAATTGTTATTGTTATTATGAAAGACTTCAAGCATGGCAGAAGAATTTTTCACAAATTGTTGGTGAATTTGAAATTTTTGAAAATTACGCCAAAGTTATTTTAACAGAACTTGTCGTTTTTTATGGAAAAGTGTCACGGAGTCAGAGTATCCCAAAATTGTACTTTTTCCAATCGAAAAAAAAACCTCTGTACTCTGGGAACTCTTTTTATAGAAATCCTTAGAATTCTATAGAAAAAAATTGTCAGTAGCCTGAGGAGTATTTTTTTCTATAGAAAAAAAAATTCGTCAGTAGTCTGAGGAGTATTTTTTTCTATAGAAAAAAATTCGTCAGTAGTCGGATGACTATTTTTTTCTATAGAAAAAAATTCGTCAGTAGTTTGAGGACTATTTTTTTCTATAGAAAAAAATTCGTCAGTAGTCTGAGGACTATTTTTTTTCTATAGAAAAAAATTCGTCAGTAGTCTGAGGACTATTTTTTTCTATAGAAAAAAATTCGTCAGTAGTCT